CCCCCCCCCCGCCCACCGCCGTCCCTCTCGCTCGCTCGCTCGCTCCCTCCCCCCCTCCCGCTCGCTCTCCCTCTCCCCCTCCCGCTCGCTCTCCCTCTCCCTCCCTCTCACCCGCTCCCCCCCTCCCCTACCCCCTCCCCGTCCACCCTGCTCCCCCTCCCCGTCCCGCCCACCCCGTTCCCCCCGCCCAGTTGACTCCCAGAGGATGAACGGTGGGTTGCCGGTCGCGGACCCGCTCGCCCCGTGCCCCCCGGACACCGCCCTCCCCTCGCCCAGTCCCCCTCCCCCGTCGGGGCCAGCGGTGCCCCCCGCAGGCTGGGAGGAGTTCTGCCAGCGCCACGCCCGGCAGGCAGCCCTCGCCTTCGCCTGCCAGCTGCGCGCCTTCCTGAGGGAGGGGGAGGCTGCGAGGCGGGGGCCGGAGGTGGACGGCGGGGAGCGAGCCTCGGCCTTCGGGCGCCTCTTCGCGCGGCACTTTGTGCGCAGCTTTGAGGAGGAGGTGGGGGCCAGGCGGAGGGTCTCGGGGACGGAGGGAGAGGAGGAGGAAGAGGGGGAGGAGGGGAGAAGCGAGTCCTCGCTCTCCTCTCCGGCCTCCCCTCCTTCGCCGGCGCCCCCCTCGCAGGCCCGAAGCACCGAGGAGCTGGAGAAAGCCCCCCGACTCCGCAAGAGGTTCTCCCTCCGCAGCGTGGGCCGCACGGTGCGAGGGAGCGTCCGGGGAATCCTCCACTGGAGGGGAGGAGGAGGAGGAGGAGGAGGAGGGAGCGAGGAGGGGGCTGGGGAGAGGCGGAGGGCCAGCGCCGGGCACGCCCCGTCCCCCTCGGCCCCCCGCTCCGCTGAGCGGCAGGAGCGTTGGACCCACCGCTTCGAAAGGCTGCGGCTTGCCAGGGCGACGCCCGCCCCAGCCGAACAGCGCGACGTCAGGCGCGAGGGGCTCCTGCAGTACGTGGCGGCAGACGAGGCCGGGACGGGGCGCAACCGATGGGCCAAATGTCGGGTGGTCCTCCGGCGAGGGGCGGAGGGAGAGGGATATCGCCTGGAGTTCTACACACCTCCCAAGGTAAGAGGGACCAGGGATCGAGGGGGTTCGGGGGGGTTTATATACAGAATAACAGATACCCCCCCGGGAGGGAGTTACAGACTGGAATCTGATCGAGGGGGTTCGGGGGGGTTTATATACAGAATAACAGATACCCCCCGGGGAGGGAGTTACAGACTGGAATCTGATCG